ATTAATCTTTATTTATTTAATATTATATGTAATATTATTTAATATTAATATTATTAATATAATATTATTAATATTAATGTTATTAATATAATATTATTAATATTAATTATTATTGTGTTTCAAAAAGTATCCGAATATCAAAAATAAAATATATATAATATTAATATTAATAATATTATATTAATAATATTAATATTAAATAATATTATATATAATATTAAATAAATAAAGATTAATTAATAATAATATTATATATAATATTTTATTTTTGATATTCGGATACTTTTTGAAACACAATAACTTTTTTAAGACTAGGATAAACGATTTGCATTTTTTTTTTTAGATGATCGTAAGACTAGTATACTAGACAATGAATACTTTGTTAGGATTTGGAATGACGAAACAAAATGAAAGAATTTCGTTTTAAATTTTCGTTATAGGCTCAGATAAAAAAAAAATTAAGAAAGAGCATTTTATCTCCTTTTGTTATTCTAAGCAACAGTAAAATTTGAAGAAAGTATCCCAGTTATGGTAGTGGACTGGTCGCTCTATCGTCTAATGAAAAATTCAAATCGTTTAGTCCATAAGTAGATGTCGTAGGACTATTTTTATCAACGGTACCATCGTATCGAACACTTGTTCCTTATATTGGACGTTATTTTTTTACATTTCTTAGAACCGTTAAGCTCGGATTAGACTCCACTTAGACATTAAGTAGTATTGAAAGTATGTATTTCCTGATCTGCGTGGCACGTGTTACTATGATACTTTGAACTTCCAGTACTTATTTGAAAAGATGTACGTGACTTTTTTTTACGGCGGAGCTTACACACAAATCTCTAAGAGTTTCGCGACAATTGAATCGACCGATTGCGGAATCTTTGAGAAGTATAAGCTATTGAATTATCATGTTGACTTATCCAACGGCACCACGAACGTTCACAATCAATCCGGTAACCTCATTTTGTCGAGTCCACGAGTACAAAGCCTCGATACTTTATCTAAGGCATTACGTTACAATCAAATTGTGTTCTCAAACGTCTAGATTCTAGATTATCCCGGTGTAATCCGGTCGATCTGGTTCGATCGAGATTATTGGGACCGAGAAAGGAAAAATATGGGCAATAGGCATCGGCGGTCTCTCGTCGACGATTTCTTCTCCCTGTCCGTGAAAATTAGTTGAGACATCGTGTTGCACCTATAAAAGCTGCTACATGAAAACTGACGTAACATTTCAGTAATTATGCGTACCAGTTTGACACGATTAGGAATCAAGAGGGTTAATCAAGGTTAATTACTGACCCACACGCATGAGCATTACGAGACATCCTTCTCAAGTATATACCGCTGATTTTAATCAACTTTTCCAGACCGGCAAATCTGTCATCTTTCCATTTTTTTTTATCTACGAACACCGCGGAGCTAATGAACCATAGGTCCACGTCGAATTATTCGGGGCCCAAATCTTTATCTCGTGAATAATTTATCTAACAATAAGTCTGCGACGAAGTTCCCAGTAATAAAGTATTAATTAATCATTTCTGATAGTATTTGAATTTTATATACAGTTTTATCAAACAATATTTGTACAAAACGCTTTGTTAAATCAATACAAAAATTTGAAATTAATTTGTTATTCATTCTTTTTCTTCAATTCTAAAAGTCCCATCATTTTTATATCGTTGAGAAAGAAAATTGTTGGTAAATTAAATGTTGTATTCGTGAAACTTTAATTTAAAATTTCAATTATAAAGCGCTCAATTAATTATTTGAAAGGATCTGGAAGAAGTTAAATAGTTAATGCAAACAGTTTCGAAACGAGAGTATTCCTTTCAAGAAAATAAAATTATCAATGAGATCTCCTGCATACTTTCGGTATCTGAAGTGGAACCTGTGTTGAGCAACATGTAGGTATTATACTGATTATGCTGCTGAATAAGCTGTACGTGACCGTTTCTTAATACCACAGTATAATTTCCTTTGTCTTCGACGATTCGGCAACATTTTTCATAATTGTGACAGCTGTAATTATCGATAATTTACAAAAAAACAAATACAAAAAAGAAAAAACTGGAGAAGATACTCATGCTAATTATAATTAATTGCATTATGACTACTATGCAATAAAAACTTTCCTGATTATTGAACTCATGCCATTTGCCAATTACGAGACTTGTTTAATGTTTTAATTTTATAAATTCGAGATAAGCGATCGTAAAACAAGTTCGTTTCAAGCCAATGCATCACTACTTTATCTCGTAATTTTATCTCCTGCGGCTCTGATAATCGTACAAATACGCGTAGTTCATTCTTCAAACAGGAAGATTTACATAATACATCGGCAGAGATTATACTTATCATAATTCACACACAGTGAAGCAACTGTGATTGCTAATTGATTTCATGCTATAGCTTTTTTTGAGAAAAGATTGCCACATATTAAATATTGCCATTAAATACGCATTTTTATATAGCACTCTTTAAAAATGTATTGAGTTGGTGACCTTTTTTTCATCAGGGTAGAATATGTTCAGATCTAAAGAACTAAATAATTTTAAACTCATGTTTGACCAAGCCTAGTACTTTTTGAACATTTTAAGTATCTTCTAACGCAGTTGGTAGCTTTTAATCTTTTTATTTCAAGGTTCCGGAATCTTCGTGTCACCCACCAATGCTCTTGAAAGATCAGGATCAGTGGGTTTCTGTCTGGTGGTCTGGATTACCTGCGGCCTGCTGTCTCTACTAGGGGCTTTGGCCTTTGCCGAATTGAGTACAGTGGTTCCACGGTCAGGTGCTGAATATGCTTATTTCATCGAAGCCTTCTCACCCTTGCACGAATATGCTGGCCAGATACCAGCGTTCATATGTTCTTGGGTTTATGTGGTTCTGCTGAGGCCAGCTGAAGTGGCAGTGGTCATGTTGACATTTGCAGAGTACAGTGTGCAACCCTTTTCCCATTATCTAAGCGAGCTGCCAGAGGAGACGATGCAGCATTTGAAGAAGCTGATAGCAATGTTGGCTCTTGGACTGATCACGTACATCAATTTGACCAGTGTGAAGCTCTACGTGAAAGTACAGAATATATTCACAGTTTGCAAAGTTGTTGCCTGCATAGTAGTAATCGGTGGTGGAGCTTGGTGGCTCTGGTGTGGTCATACAGAGCTCCTGAGTAAACCATTCCATGGCACTACCACATCCACCGGTGACATAGCTCTGGCCTTCTATAGTGGATTATGGGCTTACGATGGTTGGACATCTGCTGCCATTGTTACAGAAGAAGTACAAAGGCCAGAAGTCAATATTCTCAGAAGTATTTTAATCGCTGTACCTCTGATCACTGTGCTCTATGTTTCGATGAACTTAATGTACATGGCTGTATTAACGATGCCAGAAATGATCAGTGCTCCAGCTGTTGCTGTGGTCTGGGCTGACAAAGCTCTACCTTCTTGGCTAGGTTTTGCGATTCCTCTTGGCGTGGCCTTGTCTACGTTCGGCTGCAGTTTAAGCATTCAATTTGGAGTGTCAAGACTTTGCTACGTGGCTGGAGGAGAAGGCCATGTGCCGAGAGTGTTCAGCTTCGTTCACATAGAAAAGATGACTCCAGCCGCGGCTGTAGCATTCCAAGGAATCCTGGCATTAATTTGCATGCTTCTAGGAAACATAAATGCACTGATTGAGTTCGCCAGTTTCTTGATTTGGGTGTTTTATGGATTTGCTATGGTGGCCCTGTTAATCATGAGGAAGACAAAGCCAGATGCACCCAGGCCGTACAAGGTGCCGATTGTAATACCGTGGTTGGTATTGGGTGTCTCCATCTTCTTAGCTGTGACACCGATTGTGTCTGAACCAACGCCTAAATACCTCTTTGCATTATTATTTATTTTATTTGGTCTTGTCATTTATCATACATACGTGTACAAAAAGGTCAGAAGTACTTTGGCAGGTGAGTATAATTAACTGTAACAAAGTATTTCCATGACAAGTATCGTAATCTTGATTATTATTTGTTTTTTTTTCAGCCAAGATCACGTACCTGATCCAAGCCTTATGTTTAGTTGTTGCCCCAGACAAAGAAGACTGACATGATGTAATTTTATAGATAACATTTAATGTATGTACATATCGAAACATGATTCATCTACGTAATATTCTAGTTAAGTTTTTTAGTTATTTAGAAGTTTTAGTATACGAGTTAAGGCTGGGTTTCGACATCATAAAGAAACGAGATTGCTTTCCTTGTCATTATCATTATTCAAATCATATCAGAAATTCAGTCTTTACATGATAAGAACAGTAGAATCAATGGATATACTGCGTCATATATAATATTCAATAACATTTTACTCAGTTTTATATTTTTAATAAAAAATTCTGCAGCTCCATGAGATTTAATTGTAGAG